GCCGATGGCGACACCCAGGAGGTGTCCGTGGGGAAGGAGCAGAGCAGCACCGTCCTGACGGGCCTGAGGCCGGGTGTGGAGTACATGGTCCATGTGTGGGCCCAGAAGGGGGACCGGGAGAGCAAAAAGGCTGACACCAAGGCCCCCACAGGTAAGGGAGCTCACATCATCACTGTGTCACTGCTGAACTCATCGTCTGTGTCAGTTGGTTTTCCTTCTGTGACTTTGGCAGAACATGAGGTTCTGGTGTCTTTGCAGAGTCCACATGTGCCCCTTACTTCGATTTCATGGCTTCTCTTAGAATGCTGAGCTCATGGGGTGCCTGGGTGGCTCAATGGGTTAAACCTCTGCCTTCAGCTCAGGTCATGATCTCAGGGTCCTAGGTTTGAGCCCGGCATTGGGTGCTCTGCTCAGCAGGGAGCCTGGTTCCCCCCCTCTCTCTGCCTGCCTCTCTGCCTACTTGTGATCTCTCTCTCTCTGTTAAATAAATAAAGTCTTAAAAAAAAGAATTTATAGCTCATCTTGTCTTCAAACTTTGGTCTTTAAAGACTGATATGATTACTCAGCGTTCTTTGTTCTCTGCTTGCGCATCTTCTGTGCTCTGAACACAGTGAATGCTTCCCTGATAAGAAATAAATATGACGGAAAGCCCAAGTGCCCGCGCTGTGGAGGGAGCCTGACTGTGAGCCTGAACCTGCTTTGTTTTCTCTCCTTACTGTTGAAACACTTTCTGTGGAGCTTGTTCTCCGTTTCTGCCTTTGGATGAATGTTTTAGGCAAAAATAATAACCATGTTTTATTAGCTAAAAATAAGCAAATACCCGATCACTTTTAGTTCCCATCATGTATCATTTTAGTAATCATCCATACTTCAATTATTTATTTTTTTAATTTTAATTTTTAAAAAATTTTATTTATTTATTTGACAGAGAGAGACACAGCGAGAGAGGGAACACAGCAGAGGGAGTGGGAGAGGGAGAAACAGGCCTCCTGCCAAGCAGGGAGCCCAACGCGGGGCTTGACCCCAGGACCCTGGGATTGTGACCTGAGCCGAAGGCAGACGCTTAATGACTGAGCCACCCAGACGCCCCCCCATACTTCATTTAAAGTTAAAGATTCTTCCCACCCTCTGCTTGGGCCATTGGCAAGCTAGCGGCCTGCCCTGGGAAGGGGGTGCGCTCAGCTTCTCTTGTATTTCCCTTCTGCTACTTCAGGCCCCCCCTTCCAACAAACTAACTGTGATTTCTGACCCGTGTGTTTGGCACATCTTGGAGAGAGATCAGGGCTCAGGAGGAGGGGAGGTAAGGTGTCTTACTTGAGTAAGATGGTCACGGCTGCCCCGGGCCTGTCATGGGTCCTGATGAGTGTTAAAGCTAACGTTTTCCCTCATGGAGCACTTCTGCATGTTCTTTAGCTGCCCTCCTCCACTCCAGTGTTTGGTCCGAGTGATCCTGTTGGCAGATGTGTCTCTCCTGCCAGTTACCTGCTCCCTTTCTTCCACCTGCATGCATGGGGGTGCACTCCAGTGCCTTTCTGGGGGTGTTCACCTTCTCTATCTGCCTGAGCCTCTTGAACAGCTTCTAAAACCATCCGCGATGGGCCCTTCTTTCCTTGGCTCATGTTGGGTCCACAGGGAACATGCATCACCCTTTTCCCATTCACCCGGATGTACCACCCTTTTGCAACAGCTTTCCATCACTCTGCGCCAGAGCAAACAGCCATTCTCTCTCCTCTTAGATATTTTAGGCCCATATCAGACACCAGTCCATGGTGTTCCCCAAGCTGTGGGCAGACTTTCTCAACCTGGATGCTACTAAAATTTTTGGCTGGATAATTCTTTGTTGCTGGGGTCCGTCTTGTCCACTGGAAGCTGCCTCTACCTATTAGACACCAGGAGCCTCCCCATCCCAAACTGAACTGTGACCAAGTCAGTCTCAAGACCTTACAGTCGTTCCTGGTTGAGAATACTTGTCCAGGACATGCATCACCAGCTCTGTAAGGGATCCCATTGCAAATGGTTATTCAAGGTTTGGGTCTCACCCATGAAGCTCACAGTGTAATTCCACCCAAAGAAATCCACTCTTGAAGTCCCATCTCTTCGGCCTCTCCAACCTCTCTCTTTTTTTTTTTTTTACGGTTTTAATTATTTATTGGCTGGGGTGGGGGTAGTGAGCACAAGCAGGGGGAGCAGCAGGCAGAGGGAGAAGCAGGGTCCCTGGTAAGCAAGGAGTCCAGTGCGGGACTCCATCCCAGGACCTTAGGATCATGATCATGTGTCAAAGGGAGATGCTAAACCAATTGAGCCACCCAGGCATCCCTCCAACTTCTTTTATAGTCTGGAGATGGTTGGTCAGCCAAGGGCCACAAGACTGTTGGTCTTGCCTTGGCTGTGGGCTGTCAGGTTGGAATGTAGATTCTGCTTTTCTTGGGGTCACATCCCAAGCCAGGGTAAGAGAGACCTGCTTGATCATACCACTGCACATCTGTGACAGGACCTAGAAGCAAGGACTTTAGGGAAGTGACTTTTGCAATGAATTATTTGGAACAAAAACATGCTGTTACTTTCTTGGTGACTCCATTTTTGAATACCTTCTTGTGTGCATGGTGTGGGGGAGCATAATCTTCTTCATTCATAAACTATCAACAAGATGAGATCATTAATAATAGCTAATGGTCATTGGGCATCTAATCTGCACCAAGAACTGTCATAAAGGGCAAATTATTATTACCTCATTTAATACAGCAATTCTCTAGGATATACACTAACGTTATCTTGCTCTGTCTTTTTTTTTTCTATAGACACTAATATTCAATATTTTCAGCCCCCTTTTACATGATACTTTTTGTCTTGGTTTTCAAAGCCACCCAGCAAGATATGTACAATAGTACAATTGTATTTTATAAATGTAGAGAAGTGAGGTGACTTACCCAGGGTCATGAAACAAATTAGTAATTTATGAAATTAGGTGTACATATGGAACATTAGTGCTCAAAGGAACTTTAAAGTCTATCCAACCTCAACCCCAGATTTATAGATGATAAGGCTGAGGCCCAGCCAGAGGCAGCTGGGATGTGCACAGTCATAGATTTTCTGACTCTGGACCTGGTGCTCATTCTACTGTCTTGTGCTGCCTCCTTGAGGATCCAAAAATCCAACCATGGAGAGAAGGTCAATGTCCGTGAAACAACTGAAAACTAACATAGGAAATGGGAAAAACACAAGAACAGGAAACTACCTCCCTGCAAGGAACATGGTCTCACTCTTTGGTGTTTGTTAATAGTTCAATTTAACTTTCCTTTCAGACATTGACAGCCCAAAAAACCTGGTGACTGACCGGGTGACAGAGAACACAGCCACCATTTCCTGGGACCCGGTGCAGGCTGTCATCGACAAGTATATGGTGCGCTACACCTCGGCTGATGGAGACACCAGGGAGGTGTCTGTGGGGAAGGAGCAGAGCGGCACCATCCTGACGGGCCTGAGGCCGGGTGTGGAGTACATGGTCCAGGTGTGGGCTCAGAAGGGGACTCAGGAGAGCAAGAGGGCTGACACCAAGGCCCCAACAGGTAATGGAGCATTGTTCTTTGAGAATGTAAAGCCTAAGCCTATGGCTGGTCAAGTTTTGTGTTCTTGCTTTGACACCAACAGACTAGATGGTTTATGAAAGGGCAGGATGGTGTCCCTTCATAAGATACAGCAGACACCATCCTTCTTCTTCCTTTCACACATCATCTCAAACTCAGGAGCTTACCCGTAGCCTCATACTTTGGTATTAGAAAGAAAGATAAATGGTGATTGGGCCCATCTACTCACCATTCCTCTGATTTGTGTTGAATCATTGAAATGTTTCTACTTGAAAGGGAAAAGGTAGGAAGAAACCATATATGTTAAGATCTGTGAGTCTAGTACTTTAGGGAAATGGTTTTTGCTCTGATCTCTTTGGGATAAGGTAGGGTTATTGTTTCTTAGCAGGTAAATCCTCTCTGGAGGATGGTGTGCTCTGTTCTGGGGATCCTGAGGTTGCACTTACATAGTGTGTTCGTTTATAATTTGTAAAGCTCTTTCATCTCACTTTGCTCATTTTTAAAGAAGGTTTTATTTATTTATCTTAGAGAGAGAGGTGGCAAGGGGAGGAGCAGAGGGATAGGGAGAGAATCTCAAGTAGACTCCACACTCAGCATGGAGCCTGATGCGGGGCTCCATCTCGTGATCCTGCAGTCAGGACCTGAGCTAAAATAGGGAGCTGGACACTTAGTTGACTGAGCCACTCAGATACACCTTCTCATTTTTTTTTTAGAGAGTACATTTATTGAGATATAATTTATTTTCCATAAAATGTCATCTTCTAAAGCATAGAATTCAGTGGTTTTTGGTATATTCACAGTTACATGGCTATTACTAGTATCTAATTCAGAAAATTTTCATTACTCTGGAAAGAAATTCCTTGTCCATTAGCAGTCCCACCCCAACTGCCCCCAGCCTAGGAAACTACTACATTCTGTCTATAGAGTTCCTCATTCTGGACATTTCATATAAATGGATCCATACAACCTGTGACTTTTTACGACTGGCTTTATTCACTACATGTAATATTTTCAAGGTTCATCCATGTTGTAGCATGTCACCACTTTATTTTTTTTTGCCAAATAAAATTCAACTGTATGGCAGTAACATGTTGTGTTTATCTGTTTGTCACTGATGAGCATTTGGATTGTTCCTGCTTTTTGGCTGTGGTGAATAAGGATACTATGAGCATTTGCATACAGATTTTTGTGAGGACGTGTTTCAGTTGTAGGAGTGGAATTTCTGGGTCACATGGTGACTCTATATTTAACCTTTTGAGGAATGGCTAAAATGTTTCCAGGATGCTGGTGCTATTTTACATACCCACCAGCAACGAAGGACGGTTGTCTTCCTCATTTGCTTGGTCCTCTGAGGCTTTTGGTGAGATGGGTAGCTCAGAGATCAATATCCCTATGTTACAGTTCAGAAACCTCCAATACAGAGAAATGAATAATTTTTGAAATTAGCTGATAACTCATGAGTCAGATTTATGGAATATTCATGGAATATTATGGTAACTTAATACCTAGATAGTAAGACCCATATTTTACAAAGGAGGAGTTGAGGTTCAGAGCTAGCTGTCCAGGGCCATAGCTGGTGGATGACAGGGCTGGGCTTAGATCCCTGGTCTGTTGGCTCTGCTCTGGGCTTTTCCTGTCCCTGTGTTCTGCTTTCTGGGCTGGAAGAGAACCTCGCTCTTCTGACTTTGGATCTAGTGCTCATTCTCTTATTATGTGCTGTCTCCTTGAGAATCCAAGAGTCTAACTACGGAGAGAAGGTCTACCTCCATGAAACAACTGAAAACTGACATAGGAGATGGGAAAAACATAAGAAAAGGAAACTACCTCCCTGCAAGGAACATGGTCTTACTCTTTGGTGCTTGTTGATAGTTCACTTTAACTTTCCTTTCAGACATTGACAGCCCAACAAACCTGGTGACTGAACGGGTGACAGAGGACACAGCCACTATCTCCTGGGACCCAGTGCAAGCCATCATTGACAAGTATATGGTGCGCTACATCTCGGCTGATGGTGACACCCGGGAGGTGTCCGTGGGGAAGGAGCAGAGCAGCACCGTCCTGACGGGCCTGAGGCCGGGTGCGGAGTACACGGTCCAGGTGTGGGCCCAGAAGGGGGACCGGGAGAGCAAGAAGGCCAACACCAAGGCCCCAACAGGTAACAAGAGAAAGGTGGTCAATCGCAGTTGAATTTTGAGCTTGTGAATGTGAGTGTGCGTGGTACCAAAGATGTGCTCTGAGATGAGAGACTTTGCAAAGAGAGTCCTAAAGATCAAAAAGGACAGTGAGCTCTCGTGGTGATCTCAGTGCGCCGAGGGCTGGTAGCCATCATTCTGCCTGGTAGAGATGATCTGCTCACGAAGCCACTGTACCCACTGGAAGGGAGAGGCGAAGTTGCATGGTGGCCCTGTGCTCAGCAGACTCAGCGGAGATTTTGCAGGCCTTGACCACTGCAGGGCATGTGATAATGTTTTTAGAGTGACTGGCTCTGAAGTAGCCCTTGAGAAAACGATACGTTGGGTTCCCTGAACATCAGGGCAGACGTTTAATCGTGGTTTTGATGCACCATCATGTTGCTAAGAAGATGTCATTCCTTCCACATTTTGGGGAGCGGAAAGCCAAGAAAATATGTGAAGTTTGCAATGCATAGTCTTCTGAAATTGGGAGCCAGGGGTTACTCTCTCCCTTGACTCCCAGCCGACTCCGGATGGGGATACCGTTCCCTTGTGGGAAGAGAGTCCTAGAAGATGAAAATGGCAGTGATGGGTTGTGGGTATCTCTTCCATGGCTTCCAAGCTTAGGCTTTTCCAAATATTTTTTTTATATTTAAGAAATTGACCCTCCCCAAAACCTGGTAACCGACCGGGTGACAGAGGACACGGCCACCATCTCCTGGGACCCAGTGCGAGCCGTCATCGACAAGTATATGGTGCGCTACACCTCGGCCGATGGCGACACCCAGGAGGTGTCCGTGGGGAAGGAGCAGAGCAG